TTCAGTGGTCTCACTGTTGTCCCAGAAGAAGACTGTCCTCTAATCTTTAAGGTTCTGCGCATTTTGGAGAATTCCATGCACCAAATCCCCCCTCTCATGTTGAAGTTTTGTAAGCACTAAACTACAAAAAGACATCCCCTAGACTGGATTATTAAAGCTGGTGGGAATGGACTGGTGTTTGCAGTGATGGGCAGCCTTTGTACTAGTTGGGGAAGAAGCAGTTAAAACCAATGGCTCCTTCGGGGGTAGCGCTACACTTGCAGCAACAGAAGATCCTATAGAGTACACTAAGATTTATTTGTTATACCAGAGCAGCAGATTCTCAGTTACCTCTGATGCTCCGGATGACAATGACATTCCTTCAAAACTACCGTGTCTACTCATGCATGTGACAGATCTGTTGTTATCACTTACCGATTTAGCTGAGCTTTCATGCTATATCATATCACTTAAGTTGTAGACTATAGAGGGAGGACTGACTATAGAGGGAGGACTTACTATAGAGGGAGGACTGACTATAGAGGGAGGACTGTCTACCTAAAGGATGTTCACCTTTAAAAAAATAAACAAATAAATAAATGCACATTTTTTTAGGAGCCTAGAAAGCATGGCACCCATGATCAGCAGATCGCTGGTGCCATGCAGGACTCCTGCAGACTGTCAGTGTAATCTGTCTGCCTGTACATCGTAGGTACACTGACAGGAAGAATCAATGAACTAGCACAGCACTCAACATTGCCAGGGGCGGCTCCAAACAATTTTTTTTTTTTTTGGTGGGGTGCTGTGTTGGTGCTGGGAGAATAAGTGGGGGAGCTAATGCAACGGGCACAGCAACTACCCCCAGCATGTATAAGAGCCAGCAATGATAATCCCCAGTATATGTCAGGACCAGTCATAATATCCAGCACAATATAATAACTAACGCAGCACAGAACAAAATTAAACCCCCAGTGCAGCACAGTAATGAACCACAAACATGGCACTATAATAAACAGTAAGCGTGGCACAATAATGAACTGCAAGCATGACGCAATAATGAACCACAAGCATGGTACAATAATAAACCTCCAATACTGAACAATAAATAACCCCTTAGCATGGCACAAAAATTCAATTCCAGCATGGCAAAATAATGAACCACAAACATGGCACAATAATAAACCACAAACATGACATAATAATGAACCACAAGCATGGTACAATAATAAACCACAAACATGGCAAAATAATGAACCACAAGCATGGCACAATAATGAACCACAAGCATGGTACAATAATAAACCACAAACATGGCACAATAATAAACCACAAACATGGCACAATAATAAACCACAAACATGGTACAATAATGAACCACAAGCATGTCAAAATAATGAACCACAAACATGGTACAATAATAAACCACAAACATGGCACAATAATAAACCACAAACATGGCACAATAATAAACCACAAACATGGCACAATAATAAACCACAAACATGGCACAATAATGAACCACAAACATGGCACAATAATAAACCACAAACATGGTACAATAATAAACCACAAACATGGTACAATAATAAACCACAAACATGGCACAATAATAAACCACAAACATGGCACAATAATAAACCACAAACATGGCACAATAATGAACCACAAACATGGCACAATAATAAACCACAAACATGGTACAATAATAAACCACAAAATGGTACAATAATAAACCACAAACATGGTACAATAATAAACCACAAACATGGCACAATAATAAACCACAAACATGGTACAATAATAAACCACAAACATGGCATAATAATGAACCACAAACATGGCACAATAATAAACCACAAACATGGCATAATAATAAACCACAAACATGGCATAATAATGAACCACAAGCATGGTACAATAAAAAACCTCCAATACTGAACAATAAATAACCCCTTAGCATGGCACAAAAATTCAATCCCAGCATGGCACAATAATGAACAACAAACATGGCACAATAATAAACCACAAACATGGCACAATAATGAACCACAAGCATGGCACAATAATGAACCACAAGCATGGCACAATAATGAACCACAAGCATGGCACAATATAAAACCTCCAATATTTCACAACAATTAGCCCCTTAGCATGGCACAAAAATTAAATTCCCAGCATCGCACAATAACCACAGCACAGTAATAAACCCCCAGGAATTGCTGAGTTGTTTGCCTTCCTCTGGATCAACTGTGTGTGTAGGGTTAAAACTCTTTTTTTTTTTTTAATGGTTGAACTGGATGGACTTTTGTTTTTTTTCAACCAGACTAACTATGCAACTATGAATGTGCGTTATTAACTACCAGAACTATGCAATAATTAACACCCAACATTGTATAATAATTAACCTCCAGGATTATAGCAGTCAGTGTGCCCTTTTTATTGTGGAAAGTACAGCAGAGCATATAGGGTACAGAGGTCAGCACTGTGTAGTGTATAATGTGTGGATGTCAGGACTGAGTGCAACAATATTTTGTCAGGGTGCCCCCTGTACAACAGTGGTAAGTGTGCCCCCTGTACAACGGTGGTAAGTGTGCCCCCTGTGCAACGGTGGTAAGTGTGCCCCCTGTGCAATGCTAAGTGTGCCCCCTGTACAACGGTAAGTGTGCCCCCTGTACAACGGTGGTAAGTGTGCCCCCTGTACAATGCTAAGTGTGCCCCCTGTACAACGGTGGTAAGTGTGCCCCCTGTACAATGCTAAGTGTGCCCCCTGTACAACGGTGGTAAGTGTGCCCCCTGTACAATGCTAAGTGTGCCCCCTGTACAACGGTGGTAAGTGTGCCCCCTGTACAATGCTAAGTGTGCCCCCTGTACAACGGTAAGTGTGCCCCCCTGTACAACGGTAAGTGTGCCCCCTGTACAACGGTAAGTGTGCCCCCTGTGCAACGGTGGTAAGTGTGCCCCCTGTACAACGGTGGTAAGTGTGCCCCCTGTACAACGGTGGTAAGTGTGCCCCCTGTACAACGGTGGTAAGTGTGCCCCTGTACAACGGAGGTAAGTGTGCCCCCTGTACAACGGTGGTAAGTGTGCCCCTTGTAAAACAGTGGTAAGTGTGCCCCCTGTACAATGCATACAGTGTGGAGAGACAGTGAGCAGCATACAGTGGGGGGCAGTGAACAGCATACAGTGAAGGGACAATGAGCTGTATATAGATTTTTAGGGGGTGCTTCAGCACCCCCCAAGCACCCACCTGGTGCTGCCCCTGAACAGCGCCATGGAAATTTATTGAGAACTACAAGCCAACAGATGCAAAGGATGTCGGTACATGTAGTTCATTCATTTACAGAACTCTGTGAATGAGTGACGCATCCCTATGAGCAGAGCCCTGCACGGGCTGCGATCTTTTCAAAATGTGACAGCTGGTATGGGGAACTTCTGTACTGCTGTCACACACAGGGCAGGAGCAGGAACATGTTCCACCATAAAAACGTCTGGACCAAGGAACATGTTCCCGAAGGTGAACTTATCCTTTAAGTGTCAGCATTCAAGCCAAGCCACTACTCCCTCATCAGGTCGGTGATCCACCTCCTGACAACACTTCTCCAGAGTCTCATCCTGACATAACAATGAACTGCAACGCTGCTCCTCGTACACTTGCCTTGGCTGGTCTATACTCCTCCTGGCCTTCCTGCTCTGACATGTCAGATTGTAATATGGAAACGCACAAGTACCGAGCTCACAAGGCTTCATGACTGACAGCTAGAAAGGGTCAAGGTCTACCTTTAAGGCTGCCATTAGAGACCCAGGTATCCCTCCTGAGGAAGAATTTGACGTTGCTGTCAAATACTGCCAACCCTTAGATCAAGGTTTCTCAACCAGGATTCCTCCAGATGGTTGCTAGGGGTTTCTTGAGTAGTAGGCAATTTCTGCCTCTCAGATGAGTAACTACTGACACCACTGATATTTTTAGCCTCTGTAAGAGGCTAAATGTAATTCTTCACACTGACCCCCAATGTAAGGGACATTCTTCCCACTGACCACCAATGTAAGGGACATTCTTCCCACTAATCACCAATGTAAGGGACATTCTTCCCACTGATCACCAATGTAAGGGACATTCTTCCCACTGACCACCAATGTAAGGGACATTCTTCCCACTGACCACCAATGTAAGGGACATTCTTCCCACTGACCACCAATGTAAGGAACATTCTTCCCACTGACCACCAATGTAAGGAACATTCTTCTCACTGACCCCGATGTAAGGGATATTCTTCCCACTGACCCCCAATGTAAGAGCATTCTTCCCACTGACCCCCCAATGTAAGGGACATTCTTCCCACTGATCACCAATGTAAGGGACATTCTTCCCACTGACCACCAATGTAAGGGACATTCTTCCCACTGACCACCAATGTAAGGGATATTCTTCCCACTGATCCCCAATGTAAGGAGCATTCTTCCCACTGACCCCCAATGTAAGGGACATTCTTCTCACTGACCCCCAATGTAAGGGACATTCTGACACCAATGTAAGGAGCATTCTTCCCACTGACCCCCAATGTAAGGGACATTCTTCCCACTGACCCCCAATGTAAGGGACATTCTTCCCACTGATCACCAATGTAAGGGACATTCTTCCCACTGACCACCAATGTAAGGAACAGTCTTCTCACTGACCCCAATGTAAGGGATATTCTTCCCACTGACCCCCAATGTAAGAGCATTCTTCCCACTGACCACCAATGTAAGGGACATTCTTCTCACTGACCCCCAATGTAAGGGACATTCTTCCCACTGACCCCCAATGTAAGGGACATTCTTCCCACTGATCACCAATGTAAGGGACATTCTTCCCACTGACCCCAATGTAAGGGACATTCTTCCCACTGACCTACAATGTAAGGGATATTCTTCCCACTGACCACCAATGTAAGGGACATTCTTCCCACTGACCTCCAATGTAAGGGGCATTCTTCCCACTAATCACCAATGTAAGGGACATTCTTCCCACTGATCACCAATGTAAGGGACATTCTTCCCACTGACCACCAATGTAAGGGACATTCTTCCCACTGACCACCAATGTAAGGGATATTCTTCCCACTGATCCCCAATGTAAGGGACATTCTTCCCACTGATCACCAATGTAAGGGACATTCTTCCCACTGACCCCCAATGTAAGGGACATTCTTCCCACTGACCACCAATGTAAGGAGCATTCTTCCCACTGACCTCCAATGTAAGGGACATTCTTCCCACTGATCACCAATGTAAGGGACATTCTTCCCACTGACCCCCAATGTAAGGGACATTCTTCCCACTGACCCCCAATGTAAGGGACATTCTTCCCACTGACCCCCAATGTAAGGGACATTCTTCCCACTGACCCCCAATGTAAGGGACATTCTTCCCACTGACCCCCAATGTAAGGGACATTCTTCCCACTAATCACCAATGTAAGGGATATTCTTCCCACTGACCACCAATGTAAGGGACATTCTTCCCACTGACCCCCAATGTAAGGGACATTCTTCCCACTAATCACCAATGTAAGGGACATTCTTCCCACTGACCACCAATGTAAGGGATATTCTTCCCACTGATCCCCAATGTAAGGGACATTCTTCCCACTGATCACCAATGTAAGGGACATTCTTCCCACTGATCACCAATGTAAGGGACATTCTTCCCACTGACCCCCCCAATGTAAGGGACATTCTTCCCACTGACCACCCAATGTAAGGGACATTCTTCCCACTAATCACCAATGTAAGGGACATTCTTCCCACTAATCACCAATGTAAGGGACATTCTTCCCACTGACCACCAATGTAAGGGACATTCTTCACACTGACCACCAATGTAAGGGACATTCTTCCCACTGACCCCCAATGTAAGGGACATTCTTCCCACTGACCACCAATGTAAGGGAGCATTCTTCCCACTGACCCCCAATGTAAGGGACATTCTTCTCACTGACCCCAATGTAAGGGACATTCTGACCACCAATGTAAGGGACATTCTTCCCACTGACCCCCAATGTAAGGGACATTCTTCCCAATGACCACCAATGTAAGGGACATTCTTCCCACTGACCACCAATGTAGGGGACATTCTTCCCACTGACCCCCAATGTAAGGGACATTCTTCCCACTGACCCCCAATGTAAGGAACATTCTTCCCACTGACCACCAATGTAAGGAACATTCTTCTCACTGACCCCCAATGTAAGGGACATTCTTCCCACTGACCCCCAATGTAAGGGATATTCTTCCCACTGATCCCCAATGTAAGGGACATTCTTCCCACTGATCACCAATGTAAGGGACATTCTTCCCACTGATCACCAATGTAAGGGACATTCTTCCCACTGACCCCCCAATGTAAGGGACATTCTTCCCACTGACCACCAATGTAAGGGACATTCTTCCCACTGACCACCAATGTAAGGGACATTCTTCCACTGACCCCCAATGTAAGGGATATTCTTCCCACTGACCCCCAATGTAAGGGACATTCTTCCACTGACCCCCAATGTAAGGGACATTCTTCCCACTGACCACCAATGTAAGGGACATTCTTCTCACTGACCCCCAATGTAAGGGACATTCTTCCCACTGACCCCCAATGTAAGAGCATTCTTCCCACTGATCACCAATGTAAGGGACATTCTTCCCACTGACCCCCAATGTAAGGGACATTCTTCCCACTGATCACCAATGTAAGTGACATTCTTCCCACTGACCCCCAATGTAAGGGACATTCTTCCCACTGACCCCCAATGTGAGGGACATTCTTCCCACTGACCCCCAATGTAAGGGATATTCTTCCACTGACCCCCAATGTAAGGGACATTCTTCCCACTGACCCCCAATATAAGGGACATTCTTCCCACTGACCCCAATGTAAGGGACATTCTTCCCACTGACCCCCAATGTAAGGGACATTCTTCCCACTGACCACCAATGTAAGGGAGCATTCTTCCCACTGATCACCAATGTGAGGGACATTCTTCCCACTGACCCCCAATGTAAGGGACATTCTTCCCACTGACCCCCAATGTAAGGGACATTCTTCCCACTGATCACCAATGTAAGGGACATTCTTCCCACTGACCACCAATGTAAGGGACATTCTTCCCACTGACCACCAATGTAAGGGACATTCTTCCCACTGACCACCAATGTAAGGGACATTCTTCCCACTGACCCCCAATGTAAGGGACATTCTTTCCACTGATCACCAATGTAAGGACATTCTTCCCCACTGATCCCCAATGTAAGGGACATTCTTCCCACTGACCCCCAATGTAAGGGACATTCTTCCCACTGACCCCCAATGTAAGGGACATTCTTCCCACTGACCCCCAATGTAAGGGACATTCTTCCCACTGACCCCAATGTGAGGGACATTCTTCCCCACTGACCCCCAATGTAAGGGACATTCTTCCCACTGACCCCCAATGTAAGGGATATTCTTCCCACTGATCACCAATGTAAGGGACATTCTTCCCACTGACCACCAATGTAAGGGACATTCTTCCCACTGACCACCAATGTAAGGGACATTCTTCCCACTGACCCCCCAATGTAAGGGACATTCTTCCCACTGACCCCCAATGTAAGGGACATTCTTCCCACTGACCACCAATGTAAGGGACATTCTTCTCACTGACCCCAATGTAAGGGACATTCTTCCCACTGACCCCCAATGTAAGGGACATTCTTCCCACTGACCCCCAATGTAAGGGACATTCTTCCCACTGATCACCAATGTAAGGGACATTCTTCCCACTGATCCCCAATGTAAGGGACATTCTTCCCACTGACCCCCAATGTAAGGGACATTCTTCCCACTGACCCCCCAATGTAAGGAGCATTCTTCCCACTGACCCCCAATGTAAGGGACATTCTTCCCACTGATCCCCCAATGTAAGGGACATTCTTCCCACTGATCACCAATGTAAGGGACATTCTTCCCACTGATCACCAATGTAAGGGACATTCTTCCCACTGATCACCAATGTAAGGGACATTCTTCCCACTGACCTCCAATGTAAGGGACATTCTTCCCACTGACCCCCAATGTAAGGGACATTCTTCCCACTGACCCCCAATGTAAGGGACATTCTTCACACTGACCCCCAATGTAAGGGACATTCTTCCCACCGACCCCCAATGTAAGGGACATTCTTCCCACCGACCCCCAATGTAAGGGACATTCTTCCCACCGACCCCCAATGTAAGGGACATTCTTCCCACTGACCACCAATGTAAGGAACTTTCTTCCCACTGACCACCAATGTAAGGGACATTCTTCCCACTGACCCCAATGTAAGGGACATTCTTCCCACTGACCCCCAATGTAAGGGACATTCTTCGCACTGACCCCCAATGTAAGGGACATTCTTCCCACTGACCCCCAATGTAAGGGACATTCTTCCCACTGACCCCCAATGTAAGGGACATTCTTCCCACTGACCCCCAATGTAAGGGATATTCTTCCCACTGACCACCAATGTAAGGGACATTCTTCCCACTGACCACCAATGTAAGGAAAATTCTTCCCAGTGATCACCAATGTAAGGAACTTTCTTCCCACTGACCCCCAATGTAAGGGACATTCTTCCCACTGACCCCCAATGTAAGGGACATTCTTCCCACTGACCCCAATGTAAGGGACATTCTTCTCACTAAACCCCAATGTAAGGGACATTCTTCCCACTGACCCCCAATGTAAGGGACATTCTGACCACCAATGTAAGGAGCATTCTTCCCACTGACCCCCAATGTAAGGGACATTCTTCTCACTGACCACCAATGTAAGGGACATTCTTCCCACTGACCCCCAATGTAAGGGACATTCTTCTCACTAAACCCCAATGTAAGGGACATTCTTCCCACTGACCCCCAATGTAAGGGACATTCTGACCACCAATGTAAGGAGCATTCTTCCCACTGACCACCAATGTAAGGGACATTCTGACCACCAATGTAAGGAGCATTCTTCCCACTGACCACCAATGTAAGGGACATTCTTCCCACTGACCACCAATGTAAGGAAAATTCTTCCCACTGATCAGCAATGTAAGGAACAGTCACATCACATCACAAAGACATAAAATCCGAAGTTGATGGTCTGCAGTAGCCACATGTGAAAGCATATGCAGCACCTTTAGCAGCCATCTCCCTCTAACAGTCTCTCTTTCCACCCAGGGTCATTATTACTCACAGGGCTTGGCTGTCTTTACAACTCCTCCATAGGTAAACCTCTCCCAGGACCTTCCAGGGAAGCAGCCTCACTCCGGGAACTCTTGGTCTGGCACGAAAGGCCTTTTGCATTCTGCCCTAGCTCTGACTTCCATAAGGGTCCGCAAGTCTACAGCTGAATCTTCCTGGGTGCAGGTCTGCTCCTCCCCGCCTCCTGCCCTATCCAGGGCCTACACATGCTGATTACATCCACATACAGTAGATGTGGGGCGTTTAGTTTCCATGCCCCAAGTGTGTCTGTGCTCCTCCCAATCCAGCCTATATGTGGGTGTTGACTCACCCCTGACTTCACTGTGGGAGGACTCTACCTAAAAGGGGCCTAGCACCTGATGACACTCTTTAATGTAACCAGACACTATTTTGAATTAGAGCAAATTAGTGGCAAAGTAGCTAACTGCACCTGCCTACAAGCACCCAGGGTCCAACTTTGCCCAAGGACAAATATGCTCACAACAAATTCAGAGACCGCGGGGTTCTTGTATCTAGACAAATAGGCTACCCAGCCCTGACACAGGCTCTGAGAAGGGTGACCAGGGTGAGGAGACAGGAAATCTGAATAACAAATATCCAATTCATAGGGAGTCACATTCACTCAAGGAATACACTTGGTTCCTGGAGCAAACATCTGCAAGCCAGCAAAGAACTTTCAAGAATATTTGCCATTTGCTTCTACAGAACATCTTGCAAAGGACTGTAAGGCCATGATGGAATGCATAGAGTGTGGCAGCCATTCCCACATTCACGTGCTTCACGCACTTTGGCACAAGTCTTCTCCTACAGATCCACAGTCACTACCAATGATCACATTGAAGAACAGTGAGCTGCACCGTGAAGGACTTAGAAGAAATATCTGTCTTGTTTAGGTGTTCCCCCAAGGACAACCTAAGTAAGTGGTTGAGGTATGTGCCACCTTCCACAACAAAAGCAGGCCTTCACTTGCAAATTTCCAAATTCCTGACCTTGTTCAGCATAGAAGGAAATGTTTTGCTCTGTCCACTGCATACTGAAGCTGGCTTAGAACAAGGGACATCAACTTATGGTTTATTATTGCACTTTAGAAAGAACTAAGAAGATTCCTCATCCTAAACTCATCGGGTGCAATCAGTTGCCTAATGACAAGGAGTAAATCCCTACACCGAGGACATTCACCTTCTTTTCCTCAACTAGGCCATTCAGTTGAATGCATCCCACCACTTGACAGCGATGCCAAAGTCATGCTTCTGCTGGGATGAGAGATCGTGGGAGTTCACAACTTACATCAGGAGCACAATGGTCGGAATGACACTTCTTATGCCCAACAGACAAGTGCCAATTACCACCATCACCACCAGCCTGAACCATTGATACAAGTGTAGAACCCTCCTAGTCAGCTAGGGGGAGCTAGAGTCCTGATTGTTAGTCAGAGGCTGAGTAGCAGCCTGTGCAATAGTCAGAGGATCAAATTCAGGTCAAAGCTGAGAGACTCTGCAGGTCACTTCTCTGAGACTTCCCCCTGCACTAGGACTTTGGATAAAGTTCTAGACGTAGTGGGAGGATGTTAGGAGTGGCTGATCTGCACCTTTGAAAGATCCTGGCCAATCCCCTACATGAGGCTTTGAAAGGGCCTTGGACAACCCTTAAAAGTGACAAAGCTTGTCTCAGCAGCAGGAGAGTTGGAGGAGAGTTTGGGTGGAAGATGATGTGAAGGCTGGAGAGTAGGAACCTAAGAGGAGGCCCAGATGAAAGGGGATCACCTGCAGGCAAGGACCTTTGAAGGATGAAAGCTTTGACCATCACCGGCCCCTGAGAGAGGACCACCTGTGTAGCAGGGAAGGAGCTGCCCAGTTGTAAGGCCTGGTAGCAGCCACCAACCCACCTGCAGCATTAGAGGAGGACCAAGTGAGGACCCTGCACCCCCTGGTCCAGAAAGGGGAAGGAGCACTCTGGTGGGAAACCAGTTTAGCAGCAGGCACTAGATCCCCTGCTCAGGTATTCCTCCAGGGAGCCAGATAGAGGAGCATATGGGGTCCTGGGTGGTACTACAGGAGATGCTGGCTATCTCTCCAAAAGAGACTGTTTGCTGGAACCACTTGTACAAAGTTCAGAAAGTTGTCCTCAGTTTCTTAGTTCCATTGGGCATCCTGTACATGCCTTACCTTATCCAAGCTGAAACCCCCCCAATAAAAACTTCAAAATAAGCGCAAGGCCTGGTTACCTACTCCTGTCATGCAAGTGTGTGGGAAATACATGTTGCCTGGCTGTCCAGGACTATAGGGGGACCCAAATACTTTGCAACTCCTAAGGGGGTAGTGCTACACTAGGCAGGATGGATCCATGTTTTCATATTGTTTATGCCAAATTCTGACCTACCATCTGAATGTCGCAGCTGAAATCCAGACTCCTCAGACCACTCCGCAACGTTTTTCCAATCTTCTATTGTCCAACTTTGGAGAGCCTGTGCAAATTGTAGCCTCCGGTTCCTGTTCTTAGCTGACAGGAGTGGCAGGGCTCATTATCCTGCTGAAAAAGGCCACTGCCATCAGGGAATACAGTTTCCATGATGGGTGGACTTTGTCACCAACAATGTTCAGGTAGGTGGTACGTGTCAAGCTACATCCACATGAATGGCAGAATCCAAGGTTTCCCAGCAGAACATTGCCTAAAACATCACACTGCCCTTGCCAGATTGTCTTCTTTCCATCCTGGTGCCATCTCTTCCAGCCATGCACATGATGGAGAAGAAAATGTGATCCATCAGACCAGGCCTCCTTCTTTCTTTGCTCTGTGGTCCATTTCTGATGCTCACATTCCCAATGTGGGTGCCTATACACAGGTCAGCATGGTCCTGGGTCAGGACAAGGGGCAGCAGGAGGGGCAGCTTCCCAGGGCACAGCAGAGCAAAGGGACAGAGAATGGACACAGGGCAGTAAACTAATTCTACAGCATGCATTAGCAGTGAGGGAGGGGGCGCAGTTCTGC